AAACTCAAAAGATCTGAAAAATAAAAAGAAATAAATATTCAAAAAACTAAATCTCAAAATTCAATAATTTCAAAAATCCAAGACATCGAAAAAACCAAAAAATCCGAAAAATAAAAGCTTTAGAAAATTCAAAAAATTCAAGAACCTTAAACTCGAAATCCAATAATTCCGAAAATCCAAAAAATCCAAAGAATTAAAAAAATCAAAAATTCCGTGAAAACCTAAAAAATAAATAATTAAAAAACTCAAAAAAAATTAAAAAAACCTGAAAAAATCGACAAAACCAAAAAACATAAAAAGCAAAAAATCTAACACATCGGAAAAGGAAAAAATAAAAAAGCCACAGAACCCAAGAAATCCAATAATTCCAAAAAATCGAAAATATGTAAAAAATTCCAAACAATTAAAATACATATAAGGAAAAATCCAAATATTGGAAAAGTCCAAAAAATCTAAAGAAACCCAAGAAATTCAAGAAGTTTAAACACGAAATCCAATAATTCCAAAAATACAAAAAAATCAAAAAAAATTAAAAATCCAAAAATACAAAAAATTTTAAAAAACTCCAAGAAACTAAATCTGAAAATTCAATAATTTCAAAAATTTAATAATTTAAAAAATCCAAGACAACGAAAAGATAAAAAAAAAACAAGAAACTCAAGAAACCCAAAAATCCGAAAAATAAAAGCTTTAGAAAATTCAAAAAATTCAAGAACCTTAAACTCGAAATCCAATAATTCCGAAAATCCAAAAAATCCAAAGAATTAAAAAAATCAAAAATTCCGTGAAAACCTAAAAAATAAATAATTAAAAAACTCCAAAAAAATTAAACAAACCTGAAAAAATCGACAAAACCAAAAAACATAAGCAAAAAATCTAACACATCGGAAAAGGAAAAAATAAAAAAGCCACAGAACCCAAGAAATCCAATAATTCCAAAAAATCGAAAATATGTAAAAAATTCCAAACAATTAAAATACATATAAGGAAAAATCCAAATATTGGAAAAGTCCAAAAAATCTAAAGAAACCCAAGAAATTCAAGAAGTTTAAACACGAAATCCAATAATTCCAAAAATACAAAAAAATCAAAAAAAATTAAAAATCCAAAAATACAAAAAATTTTAAAAAACTCCAAGAAACTAAATCTGAAAATTCAATAATTTCAAAAATTTAATAATTTAAAAAATCCAAGACAACGAAAAGATAAAAAAAAAACAAGAAACTCAAGAAACCCAAAAATCCGAAAAATAAAAGCTTTAGAAAATTCAAAAAATTCAAGAACCTTAAACTCGAAATCCAATAATTCCGAAAATCCAAAAAATCCAAAGAATTAAAAAAATCAAAAATTCCGTGAAAACCTAAAAAATAAATAATTAAAAAACTCCAAAAAAATTAAACAAACCTGAAAAAATCGACAAAACCAAAAAACATAAGCAAAAAATCTAACACATCGGAAAAGGAAAAAATAAAAAAGCCACAGAACCCAAGAAATCCAATAATTCCAAAAAATCGAAAATATGTAAAAAATTCCAAACAATTAAAATACATATAAGGAAAAATCCAAATATTGGAAAAGTCCAAAAAATCTAAAGAAACCCAAGAAATTCAAGAAGTTTAAACACGAAATCCAATAATTCCAAAAATACAAAAAAATCAAAAAAAATTAAAAATCCAAAAATACAAAAAATTTTAAAAAACTCCAAGAAACTAAATCTGAAAATTCAATAATTTCAAAAATTTAATAATTTAAAAAATCCAAGACAACGAAAAGATAAAAAAAAACAAGAAACTCAAGAAACCCAAAAATCCGAAAAATAAAAAATTTAGAAAATCCAAAAAATTCAAGAAACTCGAAATCCAATAATTCCAAAAATCCAAGAAATCCAAAGAATAAAAAAAATCGAAAATTCCAACAAAACCTAAAAAAATAAGAAAAAACAAAAAATTTAAAAAATCCAACAAAACCTGAAAAAATCGAGAAAAACAAAAAACAAACAGCAAAAAATCTGAGAAATCTGGAAAAGGAAAAAATAAAAAAAGCCACAGAACCCAAGAAATCCAAGAAATCCAGTAATCCCAAAAATCAAGAATTCCAAAAAATCGAAAATATTTAAAACATTGCAAACAATTAAAATACATATGTATAAGGAAAAATCCAAATTATTGAAAAATCTCAAAAAATCTAAAACACCAAAAAGGTGAAAAATCCGCAAAATCCAAGAAACTCAAAAAATCCAGTAATTCAAAAAATCCAAAAAGTCGGAACTATCCAAAAACCCAAGAAACTAAATTTCAAAATTCAATAATATCAAAAATCCAAAAAATAAAAAAAAAACAAGAAACCCAAGAAATTTGGTAATTCCAAAAATTAAAAAATCTAAATGATCCAAAAACCCAAGAAACTCAAGAAGCTAAAAGAAAACAATCAAAAATTGAAAAAATCCAAGAAACTCAAGAAATCCAAGAAATGTAAAGAATGAAAAAAATCCAAAAATCCAAAAAAACTAAAAATATCCAAAAATCTAAAAAAAATTGAAACAAAAACAAAAATCCTGAAGGAATCGAAAAAACAAAAAACATAAAAAGCAAAAAATCTAAGAATTTTAGTAAAGAAAAAAATAAAAAAAAGCCACAGAACCCAAGAAATCCAAGTAATCCAAAAATTCCAAAAATTCAAATACATCAAAAAAATCCAAAAAATTAGAATATAAGGAAAATTCAGAATCTGTGATTGAAAAAGTCCAAAAAATCAAACTTGAAAAATCCCCAAAATCTAACAAACTCAGGACATCTAGTAATTCAAAAAATTCTAAAAATTCGGAACAATCCAAAACCAGGACTCAAGGAACTCAAAAAATCCGAAAAATAAAAGAAACAGAAAATCCAAAAAACCTAAGAAACGAGATCTCAGAATTCGATAATTTCAAAAATTCAGGAAATACGAAAAATCAAAAAAATCCAAGAAATCCAGTGATTCCAAAAAAGTCGGAAGAAGCCAAAATCCAAGTTACTCAAGAAACTAAAAAATTCCGAAAAATATAAAATATAAAAAATTCCAAGAAACCCAGAAATCAAAAAAATCCAGGAATTCAAAAAGTCAAAAAAAAAATCCAAAAATCGAAAAAAATTAAAAAAATCAAAAAAAAAATTAAAAACCTTAAAGAATCGAAAAACCAAGAAACCAAAAAATGCAAAAAAAATCTAAGAAATCCAAAAAACCAAGATGGTGAAAAATCCGCAAAATTAAAAAATCTCAAGAAATCCGGCAATTTAAAAAATCTAAAAAATCGGGACATTTCTAAAACCCAAGAAACTCAAGAAATTCAAAACATCTGAAAAATTAAAAAAAAATCCAAGAAACGCAAGAAATTCAGTAAGTAATTCAAAAAATCCAAAAAATCCAAATGATCCAAAAACTCAAGAAACGCAAAACTAAAAAATCCGAAAAATAAAAAATTTTGAAAATTTAAGAAACCCAAGAAACTTAAACTAGAAATCCAATCATTCCAAAAATCATTCCAAACAATCGCAAATTCACAAAAAAATCCACAAAATCTAAGAAACTCAAGAAATCCAGTAATTCCAAAACTCCAGTGATTCCAAAAATCCAGTAATTCCAAAAATCATAAAAATCGAAATTATCCAAAACCAAAGAAACTCAAGTAACTAAAAAAAATCCGAAAAATAAAAATTTAAAAAGTTCAAGAAACCCATGAAACTTAAAACTCGAAATCCAAATATCCCAAAGTCCAAGAAATGCAGAAAATCAAAAATATCCAAAAATCCAAACAATAAAAAAAATTCAAAAATCGAAAAAATTAAAAAAACGAAAAAATAAAAAAAAAGCAAAAAATCTAAGAAATCTAGATAATTTAAAAAATCTCCAAAGAATTTAAATTTTAAACATTCTGAAAGAACTCCAAAAAATCGAAAATATCCGAAAAAAATACAAAAAATTAAAATATTAAGAAAAATCCAAATAATGGAAAAATCCAAAAAATCTAAAAATTCGGAAAACCAGAAAGGTAAAAAGTCCACAAAATTCAAGAAACTCAAGAAATTCAGTAATCCAAAAAATCGAAACAATCCAAAAAAAACAAGGAAACTCAAGGAACACAAAAAATCCAAAAAATAAAAAACATCGAAAATTCCAAAAAACCCAAGAAACTAAATTTGAAAATCCATTAATGCCAAAAATCTAAAAGATAAAAAAATATCCAAGAAATCCAGTAATTAAAATATCCATAAGATCGAAATGATCCAAAAACCCAAGAAACTCAAGAAACTAAAAAATCCGAAAAATAAAATTTTCTAAAAATCCAAACTCGAAATCCAGTAATTCCAAAAATTCAAAAATCAAAGAAATCAAAAAATCCAACAGATTGAAAAAAACAGAAAAGCAAAACATCTAAGAAATCAAGAAAATGGAAAAAATTAAAAAAAGCCACATAACCCAAAAAATCCAAGAAAACCAATAAACTCAAGAAACCTAAAAATTCTAATAATTCCAAAAATCAAGAACTTCAAAAAAATCCAAAAAATTAAAATATAAGGAAAAATTCAGAAAATTGAAAAAAATCTAAAAAACCAAATGGATGAAAAATTCACAAAATCCAAACAAACAATAACAAAGAGTGAAGAAATAGTTTAAGCTTATCTTGAATTTATCGCAGATTGTTGTTAACCTGGATGACACTGTTATGTGTAAATAAAAAACCTATCGGCGATAAAGAACAAAATCGTTAAGCAGTATAATAGTTCACTGCTCCACCTAGTACCGCAGTTAAAATTTTATTAAAAAATAAATACGAGAAACTTTTTATTTTAAGAAGACTTTTATTTGATTAACAAATAGCAAAAAATACTACTAGAATTATGTCACTAGCGCTATCGCACACGATAACCAGATTCACAAGAAACCCAAAAATAAAAATTTTATCGACACAAAAAGGTCAGAAGTTACGAAAATTCCTTATAAATGGAAACTGTTTACCGAGAGTAGTAATCGTTCACCGTCAACCTAGACAACGAAAGAAACATTAGATTGAAACATGTTGAAAAAAAGTGTGCTTCTGCTCCTCGCTGTTGTAACCATCGCGCAAGCTACGTATATAGCACCCCCGAACTACGCCTCCAGTAAGTACCCTGAACGATCGTAGAAAAAATGGTGTACACTAGCCGCGTAAAAATGTTTTTAAGTATCTTTCTGCTGCAGAGACGTGCTTCGGCTACTCCTGCCCGCCTGCAACCGTGAACTGTAAAAAACACATACAAACCGAAGGCGACTATAGGGTGCATATCGACGTGTACTGTCTGGACTATTACGGTAATGAAGGTGGTTTGGAAGATTATAAAATGGTGACTAATCTGTTATTTACAGGTACGACACTACACACCACCACGTACCACGACAGGAATAGAAGACCTGGGTTTAGGTTCCACAAGGATTTATATGCAGTACCTGAGGGTACCGGCTGCTCAGAGTGTGATTATGGCGATTTTGATTATTAATGTTCCCGTTTTTCACAGATACAATGTAAATTTATCTTGAGGTTATCACAATATATGTTGAAATTTACTGTATGTTTTAAATGTCAAGGTTACTATTTGTTGTTGTAAATAAATACTTATCAAAATAGACCCAGTAAGAACAAATCTTAATAAATAAACTTTCTAATTTTTTGCAAAAGTTTGAAGAAATAAACTCTAAATCCAATCATTCCAAAATCCAAAACATCCAAAAAAATTAAAGTACAAGGAAAAATCCAAATAATTAAAGAAGTCCAAAAAATCGGAACTATCCGAAAACCCAAGAAACTCAAAAGATCTGAAAAATAAAAAAAAAAATATTCAAAAAACCCAAAAAACAATCTAAAAATTCGATAATTTCAAAAATCCAAGACATCGAGAAAATAAAAACCAAAAAATCCGAAAAATAAAAACTCTGGAAAATTCAAAAAATTCAAGAAACTTAAACTCGAAATCCAATAATTCCAAAATCCAAAGAATAAAAAAAATCAAAAATTCCAAGAAAACCTAAAAAAATTAAAAAATAAAAAACTCCAAACAAATTCAAAAAACCTGAAAAAATCGACAAAACCAAAACACATAAAAAGCAAAAAATCGAACACATCGGGAAAAGGAAAAAATAAAAAAGCCACAGAACCCAAGAAATCCAATAATTCCAAAAATCAATAATTCTAAAAAATCGAAAATTTCTAAAAAATTCCAAACAATTAAAATAAATATTGAAAAAGCCAAAAAATCTAAAAAAATCCAAAATCCACAAAATTCAAGAAACTCAAGAAATCCAGGAATTAAAAATCCAAAAAATCGGAACGATCCAAAAAACTAGAAACTCAAGAAACAAAAAAACCGCAAAATAAAATTTTCTAAAAATCCAAGAAACCCAAGAAGTTTAAACTCGAAAGCCAATAATTCCAAAAATACAAAAAATTAAAAAAATCAAAAATCCAAAAATACAAAAAATTTAAAAAATCAAAAAAAAATTTAAAAAACCTGAAAGAATCCAAAAAACTAAAAAAACAGAAAAGCAAAAACCTAAGAAATCGAGAAAATGGAAAAAAAACACAGAACCCAAGAAATCCAAAAATTAGAAAATATTAGAAAAGATTCAAAAAATTAAAATATAAGTAACAATCCAAACGATTCAAAATTTCCAAAAAATCTAAAAAAATCCAAAAAACCAAAAAGGTGAAGAAACCGCAAAATTCAAGAAACTCAAGAAAACCAGTAATTGAAAAAATCCAAAAAATCGAAACAATCCAAAAAAACTTAAGAAACTCAAGGGATTCTCCAAAGATCCAAAAAATAAAAAAATCAAAATACCAAAAAACCCAAGAAACTAATCTCAAAATATAATAATTCCAAAAATCCAAAAAAGAAAAAATTCCAAGAAACTCAAGAAATCCCATAATTAAAAAATTCAAAAAATCGGATGATCCAAAAACCCAAGAAACTCAAGAAACTAAAAAAATCCGAAAAATACAAATTTCTAAAAATCCAAGAAAGCCAAGAAACTTAAACTCGAAATCCAATACAAAAAAATCCAAAAATCCAAAAAATTAAAAACAAACTCCAAAACATCTGAAAGAATCGAAAAAAACAAAAAACACTAAAGCAAAAAATCTAAGAAATCTAGAAAATAGAAAACCCAAAAAATCCAAGAAACCCAAAAAACAAACTAGAAATCCAATAATTCCAATATCCAAAAAAAATCCAAAAATCTAAAAATCCAAAAAATGAAAGATCCAAAACATTTAAAAAAATCTGAAAGAATCGAAAAATCCAAAAACAAAACAAAAAAATTTAAGAAATCCACAGAATGGAAAAAATATAGAAAAAATCACAAGAAACCAAAGAAACTCAAGAAATCCAATAATGCTAAAAATCATGAATTCCAAAAAATCGAAAACATCCAAAAAAATCCATTAAAATTAAAGTACAAGGAAAAATCCAAATAATTAAAAAGGCCCAAAAAATCAAAACTATCCGAAAACTCAAGAAACTCAAGAAACTCAAAATATCTGAAAAATAAAAAACTAAATATTCAAAAAACCCAAAAAACTAAATCTCAAAACTCAATAATTTCAAAAATCCAAGCCATCGAAAAAATAAAAAAAAAGTCCAAGATACTCAAGAAACCAAAAATCCGAAAAATGAAAACTTCAGAAAATTCAAAAAAAAGAAACTTAAACTCGAAATCCAATAATTCCAAAAATCCAAGAAATCCAAAGAATAAAAAAAATCAAAAATTCCAAGAAAATTTAAAAAAATAAGAAAAAAACAAAAAATTAAAAACTACAAATAAATTCAAAAAACCTGAAAAAATCGACAAAACCAAAAAAACATAAAAAGCAAAAAATCTAACACATCGGAAAAGGAAAAAATAAAAAAGCTACAGAACCTAAGAAATCCAAGAAATCCAATAATTCCAAAAATCAATAATGCCAAAAAGCGAAAATATCTAAAAAAAATTCCAAACAATTAAAATACATATAAGGAAAAATCCAAATTATTGAAAAAGCCCAAATAATGTAAAAAATCCAAAAAACCAAAAAGGTGAAAAATCCGCACAATCCAAGAAACTCAACAAATCTAGTAATTCAAAAAATTACAAAAAATTGGAACTATCCAAAAACCCAAGAAACTAAAGAAACTTAAAAGATCTGATAAATAGAAAAAAACAAAAAATTCAAAAATCCAAGAAACTAAATCTCAAAATTCAATAATTTAAAAAATCCAAAAAATCAAAAAATCCAAGAAATCCAATAAGCGAAATGATCCAAAAACCCAAGAAACTAAAAGAAAACAAAAAATTTAGAAAATCTAAGAAACTCGAAATCCAATAATTCCAAAAATCCAAGAAATGTAAAAAATGAAAAAAATCCAAAAAATCAAAAAACCTAAAAAAATAAAAAAAAATCCTGAGAGAATCGAAAAAACCAAAAAACATAAAAGGCAAAAAATCTAAGCATTCTGGAAAAGGAAAAAATAAAAAAGCCACAGAACCCAAGAAATCCAACAATTCCAAAAATCGAAAATTCCAAAAATTCAAATATATCAAAAAAAAATCAAAAAATTAGAATATAAGGAAAAACCCAAATCTGTAATTGAAAAGTCCAAAAAATCTAAAGACAAGACAACAAAAAAGCTTGAAAAATACCCAAAGTCTAACAAGCTCAGGACCATTTAGTAATTCAAAAAACGCAAAAAATCGAAACAATCCAAAAAGCCCAGGACTCAAGGAACTCAAAAGATCCGAAAAATAAAAGAAACAGTAAAGCCAAAAAACCTAAGAGACGAGATCTCAGAATTCGATAATTCAAAAAATTCAGGAAATCCAAAAAATCAAAAAAGTCCAAGAAACTCAAGAAATTCAGTAAGTCGAAAGAAGTCAGAACCCTAGCTACTCAAGAAACTAAAAAAATCCGAAAAATAAAATTTTTGAAAATTTAAGAAACCCAAGAAGCTTAAACTAGAATTCCAATAATTCCAAAAATCCAAAAAATTCAAAAAATCCAAAAAATCAAAAAATTTTAAAAAATTGAAAAAACACCAAAAAACAAAAAAAGCAAAAAATCTAAAAAAAAGAGAAAAGAAAAAAATAAAAAAAATCTAAAAAAATAAAAAAAACAAAAATCGAAAAAATTAGAAAAAAAGGAAAAAAAAAAAACCTGAAAGAATAAAAAACCAAAAAATAAAAAAGCAAAAAATCTAAGAAATCTAGAACATTAAAAAAAGCTCCAAAGAATTTTAAAAAATCTGAAAGAAGCGAAAAAACCAAAAAACAAAACAAAAAAATCTAAGAAATCGAGAAAATGGAAAAAATAAAAAAATTCACAGAAACCCAAGAAACCCAAGAAATTAAATAATTCCAAAAATCGAGAACTCCAAAAAATCGAAAATATCCAAAAACATCAAAAAAAATTAAAATATTAAGAAAAATCCAAATATTGGAAAAGTCCAAAAAATCTAAAAAATCGAAAAACCAGAAAGGTAAAAATCCACAAAATTCAAGAAACTCAAGAAACTCAAAAGATCCAAAAAATAAAAACATCGAATATTCCAAAAAACCCAGAAAAGTAAATCTCAAAATCCATGAATTCCATAAATCCAAAAATCCAAAAGATCAAAAGAGTCAAAGAAAGCAAAAAATCCAAGAGATTAAAAAAAATTCAAAAAAATTTTAAAAACCTAAAAGAATCGAACAAACCAAAAAAACAGGAAAGGAAAAAATCTAGGAAATCAAGAAAATGCAAAAAGTTAAAAAGCCACAGAACCCAAAAATCCAAGAAAACGAAGAAACACAAAAAACCTAATAATTCCAAAAATCAAGAACTTCAAAAAAAATCCAAAAAATTAAAATATAGTGAAAAATCCACAAAATTGAAAAAAATCTGAAAAACCAAATGGATGAAAAATTCGCAAAATCCAAGAAACGAAACCTTCAAATATCCTGGAGTGCTTCTTTGAATGGTTGTTTTTGTTTAATGCAGGCTTATCCTGAATTTATCGCAATGTCTGTTTAAATTTAAAATATTATTTAAACAATTGTTTTTAACCTGGATGACATTGTTGTGTGTAAATAAAAAACCTATTGGAGATAAAGAACAAAATCGTGAAGCAGTAGAATATTTCACTGCTCCAGCTAGTACCGCATTTAAAATAATAAAACTTTTTATATTACGAAGAGTTTTATGCGATTAAAAAATACCAAAAAACTACCAAAATTATGTCACTAGCGCCATCTCAGACGATAACCAATGATTTGTTATGACCTGAAAGGCTACTTGACAAGAAACACAAAAATAAAAATTTATCGACACAAAAGGTCAGAAGATACGAAAAATTCTTATAAATGGAAACTGTTTGCCAAGAGTAGCAATCATTAACCGTCAACCTACCCAACGAAACAAAAATTGGTTTAAAACATGTTGAAAAAAGGTGTACTTCTGCTCCTCATTGCAACCATCGCGCAAGCTATGCAGGTATACCCGAACTACGTCTCCAGTAAGTACTCTGAATTTTTTCTTCGTGACACTATTTTTTCTACAAATTTTCGTAAACAATCGTAGAAAAAATGATGTACAATAAAATGACATTTCTACTGCAGAGACATGCTTCGGCTACTCGTGTCCGGCTGCAACCGTGAACTGTAAACAACACGTACAAACCGAAGGCGACTATAGGGTGCATATCGACGTGCACTGTCTGGACCCTTACGGTAATGAAGGTGCTTTATAAAATTATAAAATTGTGACTAATCTTTTATTAACAGATACGACACTACACACCACCACGTACCACGACAGGAACGCAAGACCTGGATTTAGGTTCCACATGGATGTCTATGCAGAACCTGAGAGTACCGGCTGCTCAGAGTGTGACTATGACGATTTTGATCATTAATGTTCGCCTTTTTTACATACATATACAGTGTACTTGAGGTTATCACAATATTTGTTGAAATTTACTGTAAGTTTTAAATGTCAAGGTTACTATTTGTTGTTGTAAATAAATACTTAACGAAATAGAAAAAATCATAATAAATAAACTTTTTTTATTTTTTTGGTGCTTGCCGTGTCTGAGGTGTGGACTTCGTTGCACCCGTATGAACCCGGTGCGAGTAAGTTGCAGCCAACTCGAAATCCAAATTTTTCTCGTTTTGATATTTTACTTTGACAATTTAGTGATTTGCGAGACGGAAGCTTGTCCTCCTGGAACCACCCTTTGCAAAAAATACAGTGGCTCAAGTACCGGGAGAAAAGTTTGTGGAAATTGACTGTCTAAACGAACAAGGTGACAAAATTTTAAGGAAAGTCAATCGTAGATTTAATGTTTTTAATTCTGTTGTAGGGATTTCGCTTAGAACTCATATTCTAGGACGAGATGAGCCGAATTTAGAAAAAGTTTACACGAAACCTACACCTGCCAAACAAAATTAAAAAAGAAATAAAAATCTGTCTTGCATTTTTTTTAAGTGAGAATGACATTTTAGGGGCGAGTATCATTATTTTAGTTTCGACATTCTAATATATTGATGTTAGCGAAAGTAAAAATAGTGCACTGATCGCAGTCAACTATAAACCAAAAGTTTTCTATTCCGAGATATTTAATAATAGTAATTTATTGTCCAACAGAGGAAATATAATTATCAAAAACATAAAAATTTTAATATGTTATTTTATTTATTTTAATTTTAAATTTAAAACAATAAGTTATAATCAGGTAAAAAAAGATACTTATTTTTAGTAGAATTTAGAAAAATTTAACAAAAGAAACGGATTCCTCAAATGAGTTAAAAAAAATTCAATAAAAAAGCAAAAAAAGACCAGAAAAAAAGTCAAAAAGGACAAACAAAAAACACCAAAAAATGCAAAAAAGTGACAAAAAAGGACACAAACTCGAAAAACGACAAAAAATATAAAAAGCGAACAAAAAGGACAAAAGGGACTAAAATAAGGGAAAACGCTAACTAAAAATTGTCAAAAACGTGACAAAAGGCAACAAAGCGGTCACAAAAACCAAACAAAGAAAAAAACAAAAAGCACAAAACACAAAAAAAAACAACTGAAATTACACAAGACAGGCAAAAACGAGCAAAAACCAATACAAAACTACAAAAAAGACAACAAAAAAGAACAAAGAACGACAAAAATGGAGGAAATGGTAAGGAAAAAGCGACAGAAAAAGTGAAAAAAACAGCAAAGAAAGTTATAAAAGACCAAAAACTGACAGAAAAGCTACAAAAAAAGCAAAAAAAAAGTCAAAAACTACAAAAAAAAAACAAATAATGCAGCAAAAAGAGAAGTAATAAAAACGGCACAGAAAGGACAAAAAAAGTCGTAAAAAATAACAAAAGAAAAAAAACTGAATATGAAAACAAAAAATATACAAATAGCAAAAAAATACAACACAAAATGCAACCAAAAAAGGCAAAAAAAAATACAAACATACACACAAAAAAGGCGAAAAAAAACAACAAAAATCTACAAAAAGGCAATAAAAAAGTATGAAAACATGACAAAACAAACGCCATAAAAATGCAGAAAATGATAACTAGAAAAGCCATAAAAAGTGCAAAAAACTGATAAAAAAAACGACAAAAACCACACAACGGTAACAAATGCAAATGAAAATACAGCAAAAAGGGGAGAAAAAAAGACGAAAATAAACAAAAAAAACACAAAAGCTCGAAAAGATGTGAAAAAAATGGCAACAAGAAAGCGAAAAAAAAGACGACAAAAATCGACAAAAACCGCTATAGAATTGGTAAAAAAGAAACAACAAAAAAATGACAAAAAGAGCAAGCAAAAAACGTCAAAAATGCAACAAAGACTCACAAAAGAACACAAACTCAAACAACGGCGACAAAAAAAAATAAAACGCGACTAAAATTAGGGAAAACCATCAACCAAAAACTGATACAAAAAATGACAAAAGCGTGACAAAATGTTACAAAAAGGTCACAAAAAACAGACAAAATCAATAAATAGCGCCAAAAAAAACGTAAAAAACACAAAACAAAAAAACTACTGAAATCACACAAAAAGGGAAAAATGATCAACAATGAAAAACATGTCAAGAAAAGAGACAGAAAAAGCCAGAAAAAAACAAAAAAAAAACGGCAAAAAAACAAAAACGGAACAAAAAATACGGAAAACTGAAAAAGTGACTAGAAATGCAAAAACGGATAAAAACGACAAAAAGAACCACAGAACGAAAATATGCAACAAAAATGCACCTGAAAATACCACAAAAAAAGGCCAAAAAAGGCCAAAAACTGACGGAAAAGCTATAGAAAAGCAAAAAAAGACAAAAATCGCAAAAAACACAACAAATAATGCAGAAAAATGGCCACAAAAAAGAAACAAGAAAAGTAATAAAAGCATTAAAAACGGTACAAAAAGAGCAAAGAAAGTCGTAAAAAATGACAAAACAACAAAAACTGACTAATGGAACAAAAAACATACATAACGCAAAAATATAACAAAAAATGCAGCAAAAAAATCGAAAAAATACAAAAAAGTATAACAAACTGACAAAAAACGCCATTAAAATGAAGAAAATATAACTAAAAAGAGATGAAATGTGACAAAAAGTACAAAAAAGTGGATAAAAACAACAAAAAAACACAAAACAGTAACAACTGCAACTGAAAATGCAACAGAAAAAGGAGAAGAAAAGTGTCCAAAAACGACAAAAAGCTAAAAAAAGGAGAAAAAAAATATATAAAAAGCGAACGAAGTTACAACAAAAAAGAGAAGACAGGTCGATAAAAATGCAATAAAAAGGGCGATAAAAAAATGATAAAGAACTGACAAAAAGTGACAAAAACGTGGCAGGCAAATCATGTTAAGAAAAACAGAAAAACCAAGAAAAAAAACAAAAAAGACACAAAAAACGACCAAAAACACACAAAACGCAAAACGATAACAAGTGCAAGTGAAAATGCAACAGAAAAGTGTTCAAAAAACGACAAAAAAAACTAAAAAAAGGAGGAAAAAAACACAAAAAGTGACAAAGTGAAAACAAAAAAGAGAAGGAAAGGCGATAAAAATGCAATAAAAAAGGCGATAAAAGTGACAAAGAAATGCAACAAGGGAAAAATGTGACAAGAAACTACAAAAAGGGCAAACAAAAACACCAGAAAATGCAACAAACAAGCGACAAAAAAACAAAAAGGCAATAAAAAGAACAAAAGCAACAACAAAAACAAAAGGCAACTAAAAGGAAATAAAAACTGAGAAAAAAGTGACAGAAACGTGACAAAAGGCAACAAAAATGTCACAAAAACCAGACGGAAACCAACAAAAAAAGACCCAAAGAGGATAAAAACGATCAAAAAACTCACAAAACGCAAAAAAGCACAAAACAACGACAAAAAACACACACAACACGCGAAAACAGAAAGTGCAACAAAAAAGGCAAAAAATAACCAAAAAAGGCAAGATCTTACAAAAAAGAAAAAATTAACAAAAACGGAAAACGCGGCAAAAAGTGAGGAAAAAATCTTAACAGAAAGTGACAAAAAACGCAGACAAAGGTTAAAAAACGACAAAGAGAACCACATAGAACGAAAAAATGCACCAAAACTAGAAGAAAAAACCAAAAGGAAGACACAAAAACCAATAAAAAAAACCAAAGAACACAAAAAGCAACACAAAAGGCAAAATGCGAAATAAACACACAAAAAATGGCAGCAAGAAAAGTAATAAAAACCTGACAAAAAGGGCAAAAAAGTAATAAAAACTAGGAAAAAACGCAAAAAACGGGTAAATAGAAACGATAAATAAAAACAAAAATACGAGATAAAAAATAGGAAAAACAGTATCTAAAAAAGTGTTAAAAAGTGATAAAAATGCAAAAATATGGATTAAGAAAACGACAAAAAAACACAAAAGAGTGACAAAAAAGTTGCAAAGAAAACAATAAAAGAACATCAAAAATACAAAGGTCAGGTAACCTAGAAAGGTAAAGAAAAAAGACCAAAAAAACAGACAAGAACAAAAAGAACAAAAACTGAAAAAAAAACATCAAAAATGCAACAAAAAATACAACAAAGAAAACAAAAAAAATGGTGACAAAAAAACGGCGCCGGGAAAAAGGAGTGGAAAGTCAACAAAAATACGATTAAAAAACGCCAAAAAAAACGCTACAAAAAGAAGCAAAAAAACGCCAAGCTACCAAAAAGCGTCAAGAAAACGCCACAAACAAATGCAACAAAAACGTGAAGAAATGGCGCCAAAAAGCGCCAAAACTACAAAAAGAAATACAAAAATCTTCATTTTATGACGACATCAAGTCTTTGGAGAGGAAAAACAAAAAATTTGTATTATCTGTTTATCAAGCAGTAGGTTTTGCAGATTCCTCCTTAAATTATAAAATGAGAGAAATTATGATGTCATTCCTTAATACAGATTATCAGCTAACGAGTCAAAACTAAAGTCTAAATTTGTTACCAAAAATATAATCTTTAACCTTTGATAATGCAATGTTTTCGATGTATATAAAGCGAATGCAAATATCACGCACATCATTTATGGATAAAAATCCATCACTTACGCTTCAGAATGTGGAAACCCAGTATTTTAATTTTTTTGGTGCTTATCGTTTCTGAAGTGAGGACCACGCAATACGCTTATGAACCTGGTTCAGGTAAGTTTCCAACGTATTTATATCAATTTAGCGTCACCGATTCATAACCATACCTCCAACTGTAGCGTAATAGTTGCAGCCAACTCTAGATCAAAACGTTTCTCATTTGAACATGTTGTTTTAATAATTTATAGTGACTTGCTTCTTGGAAGCTTGCCCTCCTGGAACCACCAAGTGCAAAAAAACTAACAGAGTGCAGACTCTAGAAAACGGGGACACTTTTTCTTCAATTGACTGTCTAAATGAAAAAGGTAACAAAGTGTTAAGAAATAGCGGTAAATTTAATATTTTATAACTCGGTTGTAGGAAACCCCCTTAGAAGCCATTTAGTACAAGACGAAGTCTCGGGCACAGGTTCACAAGATGTTGTTTACGAGAAACCTACACTTTTCGTACTACATAAAAACTGAAATGTCGTTGTATAACGTTATTAATATCATTATATTTCAAGTTTAATGATGCTAAATGTAGTGCACTGGTTGCAGTCAACTATAAACCAAAATTTTTCTCTTCCGAGATATATAATAATAGTAATTTATCGTCCAACAGCGGAAATATAATTATCAATAACACAAACAAATTAATTTACGTTTTTTTATTTATATTAATTTTAAATTTAGTATTTCGAAATTGTCGCAGAAAGTTTTTTCAAAAATTCATTATTAGTAAAATAAGTAGTAGTATTTAGTAACAATAAGTTATAATCAAGTAGAAAAAGATACTTATTTTTAGTAGAATTTAGAAAAATGAGTTTAAAAAAATTCAATAAAAATTTATTTAATTCATCTTTTTGCTGTTTACCGAGAAAGAAAAAATAAGGACAAAGAATACAACAAAAGAAGCGAAAAAATGACTATAAAAAGACTACAAAAAAACGTCAAAAAGAACAAACAAAAACAAAAAATGCAAAAAAGTGACAAAAAAGGGCACAAACTCGAAAAACGACAAAAGATATAAAAAGCGAACAAAAAGGACAAAAGCGACTAAAATAAAGGAAAAACGCCAACAAAAATTGACAAAAATTTCTTGAATTTTGGAAGAACCATTGGAGATATCGAAGCAATGAAAGCGGATATGGCTTCTGGGGCCCGAAATCTACAAGAAAATGTATTTAGTGAAATTTCGAAAATTTTGTTGAATATTGGTGGTATTTTGGTGGTATTTTGCTCATATTTGTACATTTCAAAGAGCGGCTCTGGAAGAACCATTGGAGACATCAACACAAAACACGAAAAAGTAACTCAAATTACACAAGACAGGCAAAAAACGACCAACAACCAATAAAAAACTACAAAAAAGAACAACTAACGACAAAATGGAGAAAAGGTAAGGAAAAAGCAACAGAAAAAGTGAAAAAAAACAGCAAAGAGAAACGACAAAAACACACACAAAACGCGAAGACACACCGCGAAATAGACAGACAAAAAGAACAAAAGAAAGAAAATAAAAAAGGCGAAAATAAAGAACGCGACAAAACTAGAACTAAAATATGCTACAAAAACAAGAAAAAAAGACCAAAACAGCAACAAAAAAGTCACAAAAAATAAAAAATGTGACAAAAATGCATCTGAAAATGCTACAAAAAAAAGCTAACAAAGACCAAGAACCAACAGAAAGCTACAAAAAAAATTAAAAAAAACACAAAAAAACAGCAAATGATGCAGCAAAATGGCAACAAAAAAGCAATAAGAAAAGTAATAAAAACGGCACAGAAAGGACAAAAAAAGTCGTAAAAGAATGATAAAACAACAAAAAAGGGGCAGAACCTGAATAAGAAAACAAAAACCGTACAAAAACCAAAAAATACAGCAGAAAATGCAACCAAAAAAGACAAAAAAACATGAGAAAAATACACAAAAAAAGACGAAAAGTAACGACAAAAATCGACAAAAAGGTAATAAAAGACAAAAGCGACAGAAAAATAAAACGCGACTAAAACTAGGAAAAAATATCAATAAAAAAACTGATCCAAAAATGACAAAAACGTAACAAAAGCAACAAAAAAGCGTCAAAAAGCGTAAAAAACACAAAACAAAAAACTTCTGAAATCACACAAAAGAGGAAAAAACGACCAACAAATGATAAAAAAAAACTACAAAAAAAGCACAACAAAAAAGTTCGAAGAACAGAAAAAGGAAACTCATGTTAAAAAAAAGACAGAAAAACCCAGAAAAAAAAACAAAAAAGAGACAAAAAACGACCAAAAACACACAAAACGCAAAAAAATACAACATAATATCTAACAAAAAAAGGAAAAAGGAACAAAAACTGGCAAAACAACTATAAAAAATAAAAAAAGTGACAAAAACTGCAAAAAAAACGGTTAAAAATGACAAAAAGAACCACACAGAACGAAAATATGCAACAAAAATGTCACAAAAAAAATGCACCTGAAAATACTACAAAAAAGCCAAAAAAGACCGAAAACTGACAGAAAAACTAGAAAAAAGCGAAAAAAGACAAATAATGCAGTGACATGGCCACAAAAAAGCATCAAGAAAAGTAATGAAAGTAATAAAAACGGTACAAAAAAGGGCAAAGAAAGTCGTAAAAAATGACAAAACAACAAAACGCCATAAAAATGAAGAAAATATAACTACAAAAGCTATAAAATGTGACAAAAAGTACAAAAAAGTGGATAAAAAACGACAAAAAAAAACACAAAACGGTACAAGTGCAAGTGAAAATGCAACAGAAAAGGAGAAAAGTGCCCAAAAAACGACAAAGAGCTAAAAAAAACGAGAAAAAAACACAAAAAGCGAACAAAGTGACAATAAAAAAGAGAAGAAATGGCGATAGAAAAGCAATAAAATAGGCGACAAAAAAAATTACCAAAAACTGCAACAAAAAAACAAGTAAAAAAGGTGACAAAAAACTACAAAAAACCAAAAATGCAAACTAAAAGGAAATAAAAACTGAGAAAAAAGTGACAAAAACGTGACAAACGGCAACAAAAGGGTCACAAAAACCAGGCGAAAACCAACAAAAAAAGACCCATAAAAGATAAAAACGATCAAAAACTCACAAAACGCAAAAAAAGCGCAATGCGGAAAAGAAACAACTGAAATTAGAGAAAAAAGAAGAAAAACCGACTTACAACCAATAAAAAAGCTACAAAAAAGACAATAAAAAAAAGACAAATAACGACAAAATGTGGAAAAATGGTAAGAAAAAAGCCATAGAAAAAGTTACAAAAAAATCGAAAGAGGGATAAGAAAACCACATAGAACGAAAAAATGCACCAAAACTAGGAGAAAAAACCAAAAGAAAAACACAAAAAGCAATAAAAAAGACCAAAGAACACAAAAAGCAACAAAAAAAGGCAAAAAGTCCTAAAAACTAGAAAAAACGAAAACTCGGGTAAACAGAAAATGCAACAAAACAGGCAAAAAATTAAAGACAAAAACCCCCAAAAAAAAGATCAACGATGAATAAAAACAAAAATCGAGATAAAAATGGGAAAAATGGTAGCTAAAAAAGTGTTAAAAAGTGACAAAAATGCAAAAAAATGGATTGAGAAAACGACAAAAAAACACAAAACGGTAACAAATGCAACTGAAAATGCAACAAAAAGTGAAGGAAAAGGTGACCAAAAAAACTACAAAAAAAAACACAAGAGAGTGACAAGAAAACAATAAAAGAACAACAAAAATGCAAAGGACATAAAAATCAAAAAATGCGATAAAGATGCAACAATAAATGTAACCTAGAAAGATAAAGAAAGAAGACCAAAAAAAAACGACAAGAACAAAATCTAAGACAGCGCTGACTCTAGGAAACGGAGACAGTTTTTCTTCAATTGACTGTCTAAATGAAAAGGGTAACAAAGTGTTATGAAAAACAAGCGGTAACTAATGTAATATTTTATAACTCGGTTGTAGGAAACCCCCTTAGAACACCCGGGCACAGGTTCACAAGATGTTGTTTACGAGAAACCTACACCTTTCGTACTGAATAAAAACTGAAATGTCGTTGTATAACATTATTAATATTATTATATTTCAAGTTAAATGATGCTAAATATAGTGCACTGATTGCAGTCAACTACAAACTAAAATTTTTTTGTTTGATGTTAATTTTTAAAATAAAAAAGCTTCACATAATCAAGCGAATTTCATCGTATTAAAATAACCTAGATCCCTATTTTTGCCCATCCATAACGACCATTTCATCGCTCCCCACCCATCCACCCCGGCGACTTCAACAGTCGCGCAAGCCAGCAACCTCTCCCCTAATCCGGCCCTGCTATCTGCCATCAATCGAGCGGTGCAACACGCGACTAGCCCTAGTGCAGGTCAGTCTCATCCGGACTTCCGCATAGGTCATTTAACCCTTCCCGATGGTACTCCGCGCCAATGGGCCATGGATGTGGTGAAGTCGTACTACAGCCGGTACGTCGAGCCCGACCGCCCCCAGCCGTACCCCCAGGAGTACTACCTCAACTACCTGTACCCCGATGGCTTCTCGCGGACGCCGCCCGACGCCTACGACGTCAACACCTTCGACAGCTTCGTGTCCACCAGCTCGCAGTCCGAGGACAACTTCCACCCCGCCGAGACGGCGCCCGAGGAGCGGCGGCGCGGCCGCAAGAAGATCGTGCGCGACCGCCTGCCGTCGCCGTCCGTGATGAAGCGGCGGCGGCTGGCGGCGAACGCGCGCGAGCGCCGCCGCATGAACGGACTCAACGAGGCCTTCGACCGCCTGCGCCAGGTCATCCCCAGCCTGGACGCTGAGCACAAGCTCAGCAAGTTCGAGACGCTCCAGATGGCCCAGACGTACATCGCGGCGCTGCGGGAGCTGCTGGAGCGCGACGGGGCCCGGTAGTACCTTCTCCAAAGAAACCCAGCCAAAGTACATACTCTTGTGGACTACAGGTGGTGCCGCAGGTGCAAGAGTGAGTGTCGAAATCTAGTCGTCGGATAAGTTAAGTACGCCCTGTATGTGGTGATCTCAGATGCTCTGTATTATTTTTATCAATAAAATCGTCTTTCGATTCCGCCGTCTTATCTGGTACTATCAAGGAAGCGACGCACCTGTCCGTTAATTTATTAACTGTATTATTAAATTTCTTATCGCGGGGATCTAAATTTGATTGAAATTTAAATTTTATGAGTGTTTTATTCGACTTTTTTGATGGATTGCGGGGGGCGAATTGGCGGTTGCCGTATTGGTTTTGGCCGAAGGGGGACAATTTGTTTTTGATAATGAGGCGATTTTAACGACTTGATTATATTCATTGGGCGCTTGGAAGGCGGGCATTCGGACGAAATATGCAAAAGTGGTGATTATAATTTATGGCTTTATGGCTTTATTATCTGCGGGGATTGTGACGAACTGTCACGACAATTTATTAGACTGTGTTTTTTTCTTAATAAATTACGACCTAATTGATCATTTTTACGATAAAGGGGTATCCCATTAGAGGCGAAATTTATTATTTGTTTATTTCGGATAATTCAAATTTATAGACGTAATAATGTGAACATGGGATGCACCACAAAGAGCAGATGTTTAACTTTTGTTCCCTAAACATTTTTTTTTTTGCTCCAATATAACATAGAAAGTGGTCAGCAGAAAAAAAACTAAATTATTGTTTTACAAATCTTGCATTTTCGTATTCAAAAAACGACATGCTGAGTACCGCTACAGAGTCAAAAAAATCAACACAAACGTTCATAAAATATATTTGTACGTCTATTATAGTCACATAAAAATTCTTATATATTTGAAAGCAAGCATAATTTATGCTTGTTTGATTTATGAAGTTCTGAAATCATTTTGCATTCTCAACTTACGAAATTTATGGCTTCCTTTAAGTCATATTCGAACTGTGTATTTGCATTCTGTATTTACAAAACTAAGACTCCTTACTGAATTGTGGTTTACATATAGCTAAAAATTTATTTAGTTTAAATAAAATATTACTAAAATTCTTTTTTTCATTTTAAATTGAAGTAAGAAAATTATCGTCAAGTTTTATTCTGTGTAAGCAATGTTTTTTCGTTCAGAGAAACGATAAAATTTAAAAAAGTAAGTATGGTGAAGTAAAATGGGAAATTTAAAAAAAACACCGAAGACTCCCAAGATTCTTTCAAAATTTCTTAGAAACAACTCAATTGGACTTGTGCGCAAATAGCATGTACTAGCCCCGCCCACCAGCCCCCTATTTTTTTACTGGGTAAATTGTTTGGCAAAATCAGTCTCATCTTAACAAGTACTAGCCCCACCCACCCGCCCTTTAGTTTTTTAAAACGTATTGCATATGCCAAAATCAGTTTATTCTTAGCATGTACTAGCCCCGCCCACCCGCCCCCTATTTTCTTACTGGGTAAATTATTTGGCAAAATCAGTTTTATTTTAGCCTATACTAGCCCCGCCCCCCCGCCCTCTATTTTTTTAGAGGGTAAATTGTTTAGCAAAACCACTCTTATCTTAAGAAGTACTAGCCCCACCCACCCGCCCTCTATTTTCTTGGAAGATATGTTATTTGCCAAAATCAGTCTTATCCTAGCATGTACTAGCCCCACCCACCCGCCCTCTATTTTCTTAGAAGGTAAATTGTTTGGCAAAACCAGTCTTATCTTAGGAGGTACTAGCCCCACCCACCCACCCTCTATTTTCTTGGAAGATATGTTATTTGCCAAAATCAGTTTTATCTTAGCCTGTACTAGCCCCGCCCACCCGTCCTCTATTTTCTTAGAGGGTATATTGCTTGCCAAAACCAGTCTTCGTCCATCTATCTCCCTTTATTTTTTTAGAAGGTATATCATATGCCAAAATCAGTTTTATCTTAGCATGTACTAACCCCGCCCACCCGCCCTCTGTTTTCTTGAAAGGTATATTGTTTGCCAAAATCAAACTGACAGAAAAGCTAGAAAAAAGCAAAAAAAAGACAAATAATGCAGAAAAATGGCCACAAAGAAACATCAAGAAAAATAATGAAAGTAATAAAAACGGTACAAAAATGAGCAAAGAAAGTCGTAAAAAATGACAAAACAACAAAAACTGACTAAGAAAACAAAAAACATAGAAAATGCAATAAATTCAACAGAAAATACAGCAAAAAAAGGCAATAAAAAATATTAAAAAACGACAAAAAACGCCTTAAAATGAAGAAAATATAACTAAAAATGCGATAAAATATGACAAAAAGTACAAAAAAAGTGGATAAAAAACGACAAAAAAAACACAAAACGATAACAAGTGCAAGTGAAAATGCAACAGAAAAGTGTTCAAAAAACGACAAAAAAACAAAAAAAAAGAAGAAAAAAAACACAAAAAGTGACAAAGTGAAAACAAAAAAGAGAAGGAAAGGCGATAAAAATGCAATAAAAAAGGCGATAAAAAGTGACAAAGAAATGCAACAAGAGAGTCACAAAAAAAAACAAGGGAAAAATGTGACAAGAAACTACAAAAAGGGCAAACAAAAACACCAGAAAATGCAACAAACAAGCGACAAAAAAACAAAAAGGCAATAAAAAGAACAAAAGCAACAAAAAAACGAAAAGCAACTAAAAGGAAATAAAAACTGAGAAAAAAGTGACAAAAACGTGACAAAAGGCAACAAAAATGTCACAAAAACCAGACGGAAACCAACACCCTCTATTTTCTTAGAGGGTAAATTGTTTGGCAAAGTTCCATCTTTCATTCAGTTCAGATAAAATAAAACACTGAAATGGAGGAGAGGTGGGTGGGCGGGGTTAATTATATTATATGAATAATTCTGGAGATGGGCAGCGGCTAGTAATAGAACTTAGGGTGTTAAAAAAAGAAAGAAAAAGGCTGTAATTAATACAAGCACTTCTTGTGTTAACTATTAATTATGTATTAATTTAGAAAAAAAAAAATCACATTCCTTTTAAAATAAAACGTCAAGAACTAACACGATTCTTATAGATTCTAGTTAAAAAACAATACCGGGGTCTCCCAAAATTCTTCAAATTCATTCAAAAATAAAACACCAGAAGTGGCCAACATTCTTTTTTAAAATAAAACACCGAACATTTCTCAAGATTCTTTCAAATTCTGCAAAATTTAATATCTTAGAAACAAGGACTAAGCAGCCGTCAATATTCTTCCATATCCCTTTTAAAATAAAACACCAGGGCTTCGAATCTTCTTTCAGACTCTTTTAAAACCAAAAAAACAGAGGAACTATAAGTTTTCGCGATGTCACAGGTTTTTTTACTTCCCGAGCGCAAGCAAAGGAAGTATTGTAATCGAGTCCGTCGGCCGACTCTCTACTTTTACGTTTTCTCGATCTTTCATGACCCCTAGAAGACGAAGAAATAGGTCTCCCATTTCCGTCTGTCTGTCCGTCTGTCCGTCCGTCTGTCCGTCCGTCTGTCCGTCTGTCCGTCTGTCCGTCCCGGATTTTTATTAGACAGATAATCTCCGAAAGTACTCGACCGATTGTTGTGAAATTTTGTACTTATATAAAGAATATCATGTAGATGGTAAAACGCTAACCAAAATTTGTCTAATCATCCCCACCACTAATGCGATGACGTCACTTCAAAATTGTACATAGTAAATGGGTTTTCAATTGTATAAAATAACATAGTCCTACACATGTAGTTTACAATTCCGAATCGACTTTTCACCCGAAACGTCCAGATTTTTGGAAAAAAAATCAAAATTATAAAACAACATTTTGAAATTTAATTTTTAATCTGCTAACCAGAATGCTTTGAAATGTTGCAGATGATTTAAGGCTATAAAGAGCATCATAAATCTTTAGTCAAAAAATATTTGCTTATCCCCTCCAAAAAATTGATGACGTCAGCTCAAAAGTTTGTGGAATAAATCATATCTAAAATGTATGAAATATGATGAGTCTGTACTTGTGATTTATCACTCCATTCATATTTTTTGGATTTGCATATACAGGGTGACTCAAAAAAATTAATGAATGCGTAAATTTATTTTACAGATTTACTCAGAAACTACAAAACCGAATGCTTTGAAATGCTGCAGATGTTTTAAGGCTATAAAGAGCATCATAAATCTTTAGTCAAAAAATATTTGCTTATCCCCTCCAAAAACTTGATGACGTCAGCTCAAAAGTTTGTGGAATAAATCATATCTAAAATGTACAAAATATGATGAGTCTGTACTTGTGACCTATCACTCCATTCATATTTTTTGGATTTGCATATACAGGGTGACTCAAAAAAAATAATGAATGCGTAAATTAAATACTGATTTACTCAAAAACTACAAAACCGAATGCTTTGAAATCTTGCACATGTTTTAAGGTTATAAAGAGCATAATAAATGTTTAGTCAAAATATATTTGCTTATCCCCTCCAAAAAATTGATGACGTCAGCTCGAAAGTTTGCCGAATAAATCCTATCTAAACTGTAAAAATATGATGCGTCTGTACTTGTAATTTATCACTCCATTCATATTTTTTGGATTTGCATATACAGGGTGATTCAAAAAAATTAATGAAAGCGTAAATTTATTTTACTGATTTACTCAGGAACTACAAAACCGAATGCTTTGAAATCTTGAAGATGTTTTAAGGTTATAAAGAGCATAATAAATGTTTAGTCAAAATACATTTGCTTATCCCCTCCAAGAAATTGATGACGTCAGCTCAAAAGTTTGCCGAATAAATCCTATCTAAACTGTACCAAAAATGATGAGTCTGTACTTGTAATTTATCACTCCATTCATATTTTTTTGGATTTGCATATACAGGGTGACTCAAAAAAATTAATGATTGCGTAAATTTATTTTTTTGATTTAATCATGAACTGCAAAACCGAATGCTTTGAAATCTTGAAGATGTTTTAAGGTTATAAAGAGCATAATAAATGTTTAGTCAAAATTCATTTGCTTATCCCCTCCAAAAAATTGATGACGTCAGCTCGAAAGTTTGCCGAATAAATCCTATCTAAACTGTAC